GGGGGGGGTTGTAAATGTTTTATGGGGCTCGCAACTGCATTAGGTCATATGACCACGTGGGACGCATTAAACATTTTCAGTTAGTAGCAATTTTTTAATCTTGCTCGGGTGACGGTCAAAGCCTACAAGTTGTATGTTTGACATTTGTAGAATGATCGTGGCTTTCAGAATGTAATCGAGTGATGCATTGTAGTTTTCACATGTGACAATTTCCTGTTCAACTTTAGGAACTAGTCGTGTATCCTAACAGAGGCTCACAGAACTTCATCCTGAATCGTTTGGCTGGTCTGTTTGTTCCAATGTTCTGTGTCAGTCCCCTGTGGGACCTACACTGTTGCAGTCTGTAAGGCACGTGGGTGGTTGATGGGTGCTCTGGTGTGGTTTGCTTCTTTTTTCCTATCAAACATCTACATTTTATCGTCCTTTTCTCCCCTCCTTCTTTTTTGTGTTTGTTACTCTCTTGTAATACTTCTAATCTTCGGCATTTATATGACTTTATTGTGTTGCAAGTGCCGTAAAACACTTACTAAAACTAAAATGGTCTGTAAGGCACAGAGAACCCATCCATTCACATATGCCTGAGGGCCCTATGATTTCAGTTCAGCTGTGTGCCGTGCGGAAGTTTTTGTGTATATCGTAGCGAGGGAAACATTTGTCACGGTAGAGATGGATAGTCAGCTGTAATACACAGAGGATGGTAGATTTCTCATCTTTTGTTTTTCACAGATAGTACACACCCGCCCTACTCACCAGCTGTGATTTTTAAACTCTGGATATTCAATTAGAACCCTCTGAACCCTGGAAAAGACTTACTGCTTGTCAAAATGAGGTTATGCGTCTCTCATTGTAATTTGTGGTAAAGGGGTTTACTTTTCTTTTCTAATTCTTCTTCAGATATGTTGGTGTCAATGGAAAATTCTGTCAGTCAGCTGAAGATGGACTATTGCAATTTGTCAAATTTAGCAACAAAACTGATATTTATTGATCTAAAAAGAAGGTGCTTTTGTAAAGATTGGTAATTTCGATGATGAAATGATATGTGTGCCTCTTTTCTTTTCAGGAGGAGAAAAAGGACGGAGAGAGGGAAAGAAGCCGGGAGAAGGGAGACAGGGACCGGAAGCACGACAAAGACCGAGAGGAGAAGGGCCGCAAGCACGAGAAGGACCGCGACCACAAGCCGGAGAGGGACCGGGAGAAGGGCAAGGAGGACCGACACAAGGACCGGGAGCGAGAGTCCAAGACCAGGGAGAAGTCGCGGGACGGTCGGGACGAGAGACATCGAGACAAGTCCAGAAAGGTTAGTCATCCGTCGTCTTCGCTTTTTGTCGTTCGGGGGGACTTGTAGTTCAGAATGATTCAGCAGTAGGATCTTTCTCTTTTTAATCCGGATCTTTCCCTCTGTTCATCAGGGTCATTCCCTCTTTTCATCCGGATCTTTCCCTCTGTTCATCTGGATCATTCCCTTTCTTCATCAGGATCATTCTCTCTTTTCATCAGGATCATTCCCTTTCTTCATCAGGATCATTCTCTCTTTTCATCAGGATCATTCCCTCTGTTCATCAGGATCATTCCCTCTTTTCATCAGGATCTTGCCCTCTGTTCAGTAAGATCTTTCCCTCTGTTCAGTAAGATCTTTCCCTCTTTTCATGGGATCTTTCCCTCTGGAGTAGGATCTTTCTGTCTTGCCAGTAGGGTATTTCCCTCTTGTCAGCATGAGCAGCCCAGGAATAGAATTACCGTGATGAAAGAAGTACAGGGAACAGACTGCTTGAGAGCAGCTGCCAACCCCCCACTTGACTTATACAGCTACCTTGTTGTTAGGTGGTCCTTTGTGACCTGAAAATGCTGCAAAAAGCATGACACTCAAAGATTTACTTCCGTTTTATGGAACAGGTAAATATACGTAACATGAAGTTTGTTCACATTGTTTCTTTAGCTATGTCGTACCAGAAATAGAATTTGATTAACAAATCCTGTTGGGCCTGAGCTGATTTAAAAGTGGTGTAAATTAATGAGAAGTTTTTAGATATAAAAACTTAAGTCTGTAACTTCTTCCTACTTCCCCTTTTGGACTTCTCCTTTGACATCCACCCCTTGGCGCTCATGTGACCTTATGCAGGTGCGAACGCTGTAATACCTTACTAAAACTAAAACTGAAACACATAAAGTCCGCCCCTTCCCTCTAGGGAGCAGCAGCGTCTTCAGGTCAGGTGTCTGGGAGTGACGCCAAAAACTCTGCTGTGAGCAAACTTTCCGCTACGTCCACCCCGCCCCACAGCGGACTCTCCGCAAGAGAGAAAACGAAAATGTCGGGCCGATCGTCTTTAGACAAGCACAGCCTGAAGTCAACGGACGGCGCTGGTAAAAAAAATTCCCTGTCTTCACTTCGAAATGGAAAGTCTCATCACGATAGAAATGAAAGAGGCTCTGAAGAGGGGAGAACTAACGGCAGGGGTGTCGCAAAACTACCACGTCAGCTGGTAAAGGAGGAAGCGGTCAGCGGTAAAAGACTTACTAAAAAGGACGGTGACAGAACTTTAGCCGATGCTGCTGGCGCTGAAAGTGATGTGAGCGGTTGCCCCGGAGGAGGGGCCAGAGGAGGAGGAGGAGAAGTGTCGTCATCGAGCCGAGAGACGGCGGGGATGATGGCCAGTACCGTGCGTCGTCGGGCCCCGTGTGGAGACATGCGGAGCCCCAAGTCGTCGTTGTGTCCGGCCAGCGGCGAGGCGAGCGGGGGCTGGCGGGAGATGTTTGTCAACCCTCAGGGCGACGGGAGCGGGCTCGCCTCCACGCGGGCTGATGTGGGGCGCGGGGATCACGTCGATGTGAGGACGGCGTCGTGCTGTGTTCATGCACGCACCGTTTGGGGTTTTTTGAGTTGTACCCAGTTACATTGTTTTTGTTTTTTTTCTTGTTGGTTGTTTGAAAAAACATCACCCAGAATGTTTTCAAGTGGAACCAGTCACATCCGTTTCTTTTCTTGTTGGTTGTTGGAAAACCATCTCTCAGAATGTTTTCAGGGTTGTTTTGGGGGTTTTTCTTAGTTGACCCAGTTACATTCTTTTTCTTTTTCTTGTTGGTCGTTGGAAGGACTTGACCCAGAATGTTTTCAGGGTTGTTTTTTGGGGGTTTTTGAGTTGACCCAGTCACGTTCTTTTCTGTTCTTGTTGGTCTTTTGAAAAACTTGACCCAGAAACGTTTTTGGGGTTGTTATTTTGGTGTTTTTTTGTTATCCCTTTGTTTTGTCAGTGGTCTTGGGGATGGTTTTGAGCTTGCCTGACTCCTGTTGTTTCAGCCATGTTTTGAAAATGTTTGTAAATTAAAAAAATTTTACTGCTCAGTTGACCTTTTTTTTCTTTTTGACATCTTTAATTTTGTTTTTGAATGTGCCAGATGAGCTGTGTCAGTTGGGTTTTGGGTTTTGTTTTATTTTTGTATTTTGTTTGTTGGGAAATGAAGATTTTTTTTCATCTTTTTATTCCAAAATTTTTTTTTTTCTGGTGGTTCATTGAGATTTATTAATTTTGTTGTTTGCAGAGTTTTCCTATTTGTGATTTTAAGTTTTAAAATCATGAAGGGTTTTTGATCTCAAGTTTTGTGAATGGTTTGAGGATTTATCTCATTGGTCTCTTTTTATCTACCCTCTAATATTGTTTTGGTCTTTTGAAAGAGCAATCTTTTAGTCTGTTATGCTTGGTTAATATACATGTTGTTGGGGTTTTTTTTAAACCGTTATTTTTTAAATGTTTATCTAGTTTATCATATTTCTGTGAAGTATGGTTGTTGTTTTTTTTAATGTAGTGGCGAAAGTAGTTTATTGTCAGTTTTGGATTGTATTTAGTGCCCTAGAAGTCTTACTGTGTCTTCGTTCTGCTCAACCATTAATTTTTGTGGTTTCGTGTACGGTGTAAAACACCTTGCTGTGATTCTGATGATTCTACGTGATGCTAGCTCCACTGTGCCGAGGATGAGAGAGTCCCTGGGGAATTGATTGCTTGCTTGTTTTATGCTATGATGTTGGTCGCTGGATCGGAAAAGTAAAAAGTATGCAATGATATTTGTGAATATTTTTTGATAATTCTCTTCTTTTTCCCCCCACACACACCTAAAGCACAATCCAGTGGCTGAAACTGTGTGTGTTTGTGTGGGTAATTTGTGGTTTCCTTGTGTGTAATTTCCTGTGAGCATGCCAAGGAAAGAAACATTTTGGAACAGAAGAATCTGTGAACCAATCGGTTTTTCTTTCCATTACAGTTAACCCTGATTCTGGGATGTTAGCAGAGAGAAGACTGTATCTGTTGTAAGATACTGTTCCTGCTGCTGTTGTCAGTGACTTTTAAAACTTTGTTTTGCATCCTGCTATTTTTTTTCTATTTCTTTTTCTTTTTCTTTGTGAATTTAGAGAGACCAGAGCAAGGAAAAGGAAAACGAATCTCCAGCGCGTGTGAATGGAGAGAAGGAAGAGAAGCATGTGAGTATGTTGTAAAAGTGTGTTAACACTTTGCCACCACAAGACTTATATATATATTGAAGAAAACCCCTGCCATCAAAGACAAAGGCATTTTGGCGAAAATCCAAATATCCTGGGTGGTATTGTCATTGTCATTGTAAACATCACCGATGGGCGAGATGTGACGGCAAAGTGTCAAACAAGTGGAAGTGTTTCGGTTATTTGTAACGGTGTGTCCCGGACAGTGGAAGGAAAGCTCGCACAAACTTAAACTGACAATAGTTCCAGTGTCTGGTCCCTTCTTTGTGGTTTACAGTCTCAGTTCCCTGAGAATGAGCAGTGTTAAGGACATGCAGGCACCTACCTATGATATAATTAATATAGCATGTATATTAAACTGTAGCAGGTATGCATTCGATCCATACGGATTGTTGTCAGGTGATTGTGTTCTTCATGACTGTCTGAGAGTGTCTGTGTGCGTGGCTGCTTTCAGGGATTAAAACATTTTTTTGTTTTGTTTTGAGGGGGCTTGTTGGGTTGTTTTTTTTCTTCTTCATGTGCCAGGAGTGGGAAAGTTTTCCTGTCATAGGGTAGTGAGATGTTGTGTGCTTACAACATATATACACGAAAAAGCGAATCACATGCATCTTTACAACTGTTTTGTGAGCTACTGAAGTGGAAGGTCTGAGATTATGCATGTAGAGACGTGTTGTTGTTGTTGTTGTTGTTATTGTTATTGATCCAGCAACAGCAGTGCTCTCGCCCTTCTGTCCAATGCCATGATGAGATGTGTGAATGTGGCTGTCCAACTAACTAACTTACTGTTGGTGAACTCTCTCATGATGCCTCACCTGGTGTTGTGGGCAACGTAAATGAGCATTTTACTTTAGAGATATAAAAGTCACAGAAATGTTATTCTGAAAATGATACAACCCCCCCCCCCCCCCTCGGGGTGGTGCTACTGACTGAATATGTCTTTGGGCCATTCCCAAAGGGGAGCAATTAACATGTTCTTATTCTCAGTAGAATTGTAAATGGGCTGATTCATCAATGTCATGCTCATAACTGTGCCTGAACAGCATACAGGGAACTGCTGCTTTTTCTTTCCTCATCCTTACTATCGTCATTTTTTCCTCTACTTCTTTTGTATGTTTGTCACTCTTTTGTGACCCGCTATTTCCGGGTGCCTTGATAGTCGAAGCAGACTTTGTGCTGTTGAGGCTAGAGAGGTGTGCAGAGTAAGTCTGATTCCCTGTAAGGACTTCTCTGTTGACACCCACCCCTCACCGCTCATATAACTTTATGCAGTTGCGAGCGCCGTAAAAACTCTGCTGTGGGTGTTTGACGGGTGCTCTGGTGTGGTTTGCTCCTTCTTTCCTATAAAAAAATCTATCTTCTCTATCTCCCCTCCTTCTTTTTTGTGTTTTTTCTCTCTTGTAACACCTCTAGTCTTCGGCTCCTAAATGACCTTATTGTGTTGCAAGTGCTGTAAAACCCTTACTTCCTTCTTTCCTGTCAAACATCTGTCGTCCTTATCTCCCCTCCTTCTTTTTTACGTTTGTTACTCTCTTGTAACACCTCTAAGTAGTCTACTCATCTGGCTCTCAAATGACCTTACGCAGTTGCGAGCGCCGTAAAACCTCTACTAAAACAAACAGACTCTTACTAAAATTAAAACTAAAAACTCTACAAAAACTAAAACATGAAAATGACAACCGTTCCTTCCTTCCTTCCCTCCTTTTGCAGGAGCCCCCGTCGAGGCTGCAGAGGCCGGCGTCAGCCAAAGGTTCGCGCAGACGCAGAGAAGGTGAGTACCGCTCAACTTGTGATTTGTTTTTGTTTGTTTGGGAGTTGGGTTTTTTTCTGGGTTTTTTCTCGATTGTCTGATCACTTCTGAGATAGACGTGGTCACCTTAGTAAAAGTCTGTACTGGAGGATGTACTGCCGGTCACGTTTATGTTCACAGCCGTAGTATTTGTCATCTCAAATGTCTCGCAGTTGGATTTGGAATAAATTCATATATGAGGCAGCGTGGTGGAATCAGGCTCTCGTCAATTTTTGGGTATTTAGAGTTATTGGTATCATCTTAAATAAAGCTTGTTCGCTTGTCTTTATTTGGATGGAAAAAATATCCATTTATCTTGAATACAAGTCACGATATTTACGAATGAAGGAGGTGGGGGTCATCTGTTTTCAGTGGTAAAATTAGTGAGAAAATGGCCGCCAAAGATGAGTTATTTCCTGAACTTTAGAGTCCGCGGTAACTGAAAATTTACATTTTTTGTGCTTTTAATCAACATTTTTAAGAAAAACCCACACAGAAATGAGTTTTTTAATGGGCATGAAAGGTGTTGAGTCAAAAAACAAAAATTGGATAAAAATTCACAAACCTGCGGTAAAATGCAAGTTTGTTCTCTTTGATTATTTTGACGAGAGCCTGATTCCAGCACGCTGCCTCACATATTATTATTATTATATGGCTTCGGTCACCTCCTCCTAAGTATTTTGTGACTTTTGATTTTTTAAGTCTGATGTTTTCTAAAGACTTATTTTGTCTAGAAGTTTTTGTACTAATGTTACACAGAGGTGTTTTATTTGGGGGGAAAAAACTTACAAAACAAAATAAGTGTTACTGTGATTTCTGATAGGCTGGCAGAATGTATCGTGGCTTACGTGAAATTTGTATTTTATCCGTGGATAACTGTACGGTTGAATTGTGCAGATAATTTTTTGCTGTTTATAGAGGACTGAGTATGGTTTTAACGTCGAGAGTTGACAATATTAAATGCAATGCTTGATAGTAATAACTATTTACGTTATAGAAATTGACAAACTAAACTAGTATTTTTTTTTTTTTATAAACGTGAAACTAATTTTGTTTTTTCTGTTTTTGTTGTTAATAATGAGTCTAGTCTTTTTATACTATGAAGCTAATTGTTTTGTTTTTTGTAATAAATAAGATAGTAATAGAACTTTTTTCTTTTAAAAGATTCTTATTGTTAATCCCCTGTAAAATGTTTCAAATGGAATGCCTACAGGTGTTTTATTCGTTTGTTCATTTGTAGGTTTGTTTGTTTGTTTTTGTGAATGGTGTGTGTCCGTGTCGGAGGCTGATCTTTTTGTTCACCAATTTTTACCCTTTCCTTTTTTTTTTTTTTTTCTGCACTGCTTTGTTAACAGCTCAGAACCATGCAGCACTCGGTAAATATCTTATCTCCCCTTTCCTGGACCATTCTAGACGCGTCTCTGCCACATAATCTCTCAGAGACTAATAATAATCAAAATTAATAATACTTTTTTAACACCTCGCGACCTAAGTGTTTTCTTGTCATATCCCCATTTATTTTTTTTTGCAGTGAAAATGTGACTTTTTCTTTAGAGCTCACTTTTTGTTATCAACTGTTTTCACTGTTATTTAAAAAGTGGGAGACGGGACAAGAAAGCACTGAGGTCGCGACCTGCATTATCATGTCCAGACTAAAGGTTTGCTTTGGAGCTTTTGCGTCGGGGTTTATATCGATCATTTATTATGTGAGTAGGTTTGTTATATATAGCTCCACGTAAACTTTGGTGCACCGTGTGAGCCGTGCGTGCCGAGGCAGTGCAGTACTAAAAATAATTATCGGTATAGATAGTGCATTGCAGTTCCTAGACAAAACTGCTTTCGCCAATCGTCTTCTTCTTCTTGTTTTTCCTTGTGAGCAGTGCGTGCAGAGATAGTGCAGTACTAAAAATAATTATCAAAGTATAGAATCTAGCGTATTGCTGTTCCCTAGACAAAAGTGCTGTCACCAAAACTTTGTCGTCTTCTTCTTCTTGTTTTTCCTTGTGAGCAGTGCATGCAGAGATAGTGCAGTACTAAAAATAATTATCGGTATAGTGTATTAAGTTCCTAGACAAAAGTGCTGTCACAGAAACTTTGTCGTCGTCTTCTTCTTCTTCTTCATAATTTTCAAAAAGAAAACCAATAACCTTCCATCTTGCTTTGTCTTAATTTCCTCAGTAATGGCTCAACTTTTTTTTAATAGAGAGGAAAATCTCATCATGTCACATGGTTTTTTGTGTGCATAGAATGTAATCAAAGCTTTAAAAATCTAAGAAATGCTGATGGATGTATGTATGTATGTTATGCTAGTCTTGAAACTTTTTCTTCACCCTTTAGCCACTTTAGCCAAAGAAGTAGAAGATGCTGACAGCCCACCTCATCAGTTGAACATTTTTTTTTCTCTTTTTCCCTTTTTTTTTCCTTGCCGGGATTTTCATCTATCTATCTATCTATCTATCTATCTATCTATCTATCTATCTATCTATCTATCTATCTATCTATCCGTCTATCTATCTATCTACCTGTCTATCTATCTATCTATGCATCTATCTATCCATCCATCCATCCATCCATCCATCCATCCATCCATCCATCCATCCATCCATCCATCCATCCATCCATCCATCTATCTATCTATCTGTCTATCTGTCTATCTATCTGTCTATCTTTTTCTTTATGCGTGGTTTTCCTCATTGTTCAATGAAATCTCTTCCTATTGTCAGTAAATGATTGAAAGTCTTACCGTAAATGAGGGCTTCTTCCATCATCACTGTTGTAACTGCACTCTGAGACCAGCGCCTACTTTACTGTGTCATTCAGAGGCGTAGAGGAAGTCTGTTGTTTAGCTTGTCTATCATTTGGCCAAAGCAAGCCTTGAAAGTTACAAGAAAACGTGAAAATATTATTTTGAACCAAAAAGAAATGGAGAAAAAAAATGTTTTGCTTTTTTCCAGTTAAAGAAAAACATTCCCTGATTAGTATTACTTTTAAACATACTAGAACGAAATCGATTTTTTAGAATTTCCCCTTCCCAGATAATTTTTAGTGGAAGAAGTTACATGAATTTAATTTGATTTAAAGAAGGGGGGAGAGGAGTTTAATGGGGTTTTTTATGTGTGTATTATTTGTGATTTGATTTGATTTTATTTAAAGAAACAAACATGCTTTTTATGAAAAAAGGACAAATTTCTTGATATGTTGTTTCCTGAAGCAAAGCTGAATTTTCATGTCAGTAGATGTAGGAAAGAGAGAAAACTCTGAAATCTTTTCTCTGTCTGATGTCCTTGTCAAACTAGGTCGTTGCTGTTTCCAGTTTTTCAACCTGTATATTTTGCCGCTTTGATGTGTGTGTGTCACGGCATGGTGGGATCAGGCGCTTTTTCAACGTTTGGGGGCATGGAGTTACTGATATCATTTTATAGCTTGTTCATTTGTCTGATTTTTTTAGGGGGGGG